GGAAATTATTGAAAAAATGATGAGTTCTCAATTTATGTATCCTATTTCAAATTTCATTATTTGTGGCTTAACAAATTTCCAATCACTCAGATTTATGAGGATTTTTGTAATACCTATGTTGACAGAAGTAAGGCATCAACTTTTAATTTGATGTTTGAGTCGGAGTTGGTTCTTTTACCTTGTAATCGGTGTAATGGTGCTTATATGTACATTGATTGCCTACATTCAATATGATTTGTTATATTTTAGAAGAATTGTCAAATTATTTGAAAAGGAAATTTCCAAGGATTGTATTGGTAAAATTTATCAACAATTGAATAAGAAAACAACATTGGAAGCTTCCCTAGATTCAAATATTGTATCAAAGGCACTTCAATCAAATGTTACACTTGTAATTGCTATTGGAATTCTTGCGTTAATCATTCCATTATGTAGTGGAATGTTATATTATGAAACTTATAAGAATGCCAAGTCAGCCCTATTCACTTTCACAAATGTTGGATTATTTTCAAATGTGATTGGTCATTTACAATTTTCAGCTTTTTATTTGGGTGAAATTCTTACCTTTTTTGGTTTGTCAGGTTTAGCCCAATACGGAGATACCAGATATTGGAATGAAAAGCTTAAACCTAGTGAATTTGAACAAATTTACTCCTTATTAAGATATGAATCTGTTCTATTATACTTGCAACAGCTCAACATTACAATTACATTCAATGCAAAAGTTCAATATTGTTTTGGTATTGAAGAAGTAATGACCGATTACTTAACTTCTTCAACTCAAGAAAATACAAGAAACTTTTACAATGCTCAACAAAATTTATTTTCCAAAATGTAACAGTTTTGGATCCAACAGATATATTTATGGTATCACAAACTCTATGAAATGTCTCATCCTTTGAATGATAAACTATTGATTTATATGAAGGAATTCGAATGATCAACTCATTGTGAACATTAGAATTGGTGTGAATACTGGACCAGTCATTGCTGGTGTGATTGAAAGGAAAATGTGTCATGCAATCTTATC